AAAAAAAAAAAAAAAAAAAAAGTTGGTAACAGAACAAGGAAGCTTATTCAGTACTATCCCCAAAAGATATGATACTGTGAAATAAAAAGGATAAAATAGTATGCATTATATGCCACAATTTAAATGGTTAACTGTTAGTGGGAGTGAGAAACTCGGGAAATATGGTAACAGTGGGAGCAAGATGTCACAATGTGCTTTTTAATTTTTTAATTAATAGACTATTTTTCAGAGCAGCTTTAAGCTCACAGAAAAAGTCAGGAAGGAGTACAGAGTTTCCATGTATCTGCTTCCCCATGTACACACACACACACACACACAGATTTCCTTATTAACACCTTGCATGAGTGTGGTATGTTTGTTACAATTGATGAGCCAATATTGATACATTATGATTAATCAAAGTCCATGGTTTATGTTAGGGTCTCTTCCTTATGTTGTACATTCTGGATGGCTTGACCAATGTATCATGACACACATCTGTCATTACAGTATCATACAGAATAGTTTCGTTGCCCTAAAAGTCCCCTGTCCCTCAACTATTCACCCCGATCCTTTTACGGTCAACATAGTTTTGCCTTTTCCATAATATTGTATAGTTGTAGTCATATCATGTGCAGTTCAGTTGGCTTCTTTTACTTGGCAATATATATTTAAGGTTTCTCTGTATCCTGCTATGATTGAAGCACTGAATAATTTTTCTTACATGAATACCACACAGTTTGTCTATCTGTAATCTAATGAAGGATATCTTGGTTATTTCCAAGTTTTTGCAATTATGAATAAAGCTGTTATAAACATCTGTGCAAGGGTTTTTGTGTGGAGGTAAGTTCTCAGCTCATCTGAGTAAATATCAAGGAGTGCAGTTTCTGAATTATATGATGAGAGTGTGTTTACTTTTGTAAGAAACTTCCAAACTCTTTTCCAAAGTGGTTGTATCATTTTGTATTCCCACCAACAGTAAATGAAAGTTCCTCATCCCCAATCTTGCTGGCAATTTCATGGAGTCAGTGTTTAGGGTTTAACCATTCTA